GCGGCTGGGCCTGCGCGACGTCGGCGACATCCTGCGCCAGATCCCGGGCCTGGAGGTGCGCGAGGACGGCGAGTTCACGCGGGTGGCGGTGCGCGGCGTGGCGCCGGGCGACTTCAACGGCCGGGTGCTCTTCCTGCTGGACGGCCTGCGCCTGAACGACAACCTGTACGACGCCGGGCCCATCAACCGCGAGTTCTTCGTGGACGTGAGCCTCATCGAGCGCGTGGAGTTCACGCCCGGCCCGGGCTCGGCCCTGTACGGCGGCAATGCGCTGCTCGGTGTGGTCAACATCGTCACTCAGCGTGCCGACACGCTGGCCGGGCCGCAGGCGCGGGTCGTGTTCTCGCCCAAGGGCCAGGTCAGCACGCGGCTCAGTTATGCGCAGCGGCTGGAGAGCGGCGCCGAATGGCTGGCCGCCTTCAGCAGCGACGAGGAGCCCCATCCCGGGTTGCTGTTCGGAGAGCCCGAGAGCTATCACGCGCAGCTCGAGCCGCTGGAATGGGACCGTGCGCGGCGCTGGCTGCTGGGCGGGCGCGACGGCGGGCTGTCGCTGCGTGTCGGCGGCGTGCTGCGCGACCGGGGCCTGTACAGCTTCCTGCCCAAGTCGGGCGACATCACCGGCAGCATCGATTCGATGCGCGAGAACTTCGCGCAAGGCGGGTGGGACGGGCGAGTGGCGGACTGGGACGTGCACCTGGGCCTGGCCTGGCAGTCCTCGCGCTTCCGGGCGGAGCAGGCCGACGACTCGGGCGCCGAGGTGCGCACCGGTCGCTTCGAGGCCCAGGGCCGCTGGTGGCTGGGCGAACTGCGCCTGGGGCAGAGCTGGGGTGGGGCGACGGGCGACGTGCACACCACGTCCTTCGGCGTGGACCTGCAGCGCGACAACCTCCAGCGCTTCCGCTACGTCTACCTCGGCGAAGCGCCCGAGGACCAGACCTACTCCTCGCAGCGCCTGGGCTTCTACGTGCAGGACGAATGGCGGCTCGCCGAGCGCCAGCGCCTCGTGCTGGGCGTGCGGCGCGACGGTGCCCGCGGCGGCGAGTCCAGCTGGAACCCGCGTGCGGCCTGGGTCTGGTCGCCAGAGCCGGGACAGAGCCTCAAGCTGATGTGGGGCACGGCCTTCCGCGCGCCCAATCGTTTCGAGAGCGTCTACAACGCCAACG